TGTGGTCAAAGTTTCGTGAAATTGACTGTAAACACATATGGACTTTGCATCATTTTTAAACTGTATTATTTTTTGTCATCATCTTTAAACTGTATTATTTTTAACGAGTTTGTTTGCCGTTGCATTCACATCCTACATGCTTAAGGTCGTTAATACGTCCAAAGGGGGGTGGGGGCGAGAGTGGGGGGTGGGGGTGAGAGTGGGGGGGGGGGTTTACGTACAACAGCCTGGTGTCTTGTACATACCTTCGTCAGAAAGAATCCTTCCAATACCAAAATCTGACAGTGCCAAATTACCCTCTACATCAATGAGTACATTCGACGGCTTCAAATCTCTATGCAAAATTATAGGCTTGCTTCCATGTATTGCTCTCAGCCCTTCCAACACTTGACGTATCATTTCTCGGGCACGGGATTCTGTTATTGCTTCGCCTTCTTCCTTAACGTAGTCTTGAAGGTTTTGTTCGTACAAGTCCAGAATTAAATAGCAAGTATCATCACTGGAGTCATCATCACTATACCAATAATTCACAATATGCGGTGATTTACTTGCTTTGGGAAAGTTCAGGATATCTCGTTCGGTCAACAATTTCAGATACAAATGTTTGGGCACACGTTTTATCGCTCGCTCGATGCCATCAAGACCCAAACAAATGTAAACTGCAGTTCCACAACTGCTACTCCCAATCAAGAACTCTTCTTCGAAACATACGCCGTTACCATTTATTACTGTCACCGATTGAGGATCGTTTTTCCAGACTTGAACAAGCCGCTCAAATTTGTGTCTATGTTTCACAGAAACTTTCTTCCAGTGTACGATATCACATCTTCTCTTTGCTTTGTACATCTGGTTACCGTCTCCCCTTCTTTTAATACGTTTATAAACGTCTGTAATATAAATGCTTGGTGAAACATTTTCGATGTCCATTTTGAGTTTAGAATTGCGAATCGTAGTACAGGTGTGATGAATTCGAACAGTGCAATTCGTATCGGGCCGTTTGCCGTGACCTGAATTTGTGCCTAAAAATCGATGTTCATTTCACCTGTCTGAGAACTGAAAAAAATGTTCAAAACTTTTATGCATCAAAATCAGAAAGTTCACATTCTACATTCTACATTCTAACTTGGAAATTGAAAATTTCAGTGTTGCCTACTTGCGCATAAAATCGCGATTCGCGGGCATTTCATTGGCCAGAGCAGGGCCACAGAGTAAGGATATACAGAGGCGGAACTCGAGGCAAAACATGTCCCCACTTTTTTAATGCGCATGCGCGACCCTCTGGCAAGTGTCGTGCACATTTTTTATCAGGAAATAGATAGGAAATTGCAAAATTTTGGCAATAAAACGGCGATTTTAAGCGCAGTAACCGATCAATCTTCATTTTGTGCACGAATTTTGCAAATAAATGGCACACTGCGTCTTCTTAGCAAAAGGGAATTGAACGAATATTATTTTTAACGGCGAAAATGAGAAAAGACACCCGAAGGAGTGAGAATTTCTGGCAATCTGAAGATTCGATTATGTAGACCTGAACTCCAGCTGGAACTTGGCAACTTTATATGTGAGTTTTTTTTCTCTAGCTCATATATATGAAATTATCAATATATTTTTGTGAAGTGCAATGTTACGGTGGCCCACAACTCTCACATCAATAACAAATAGTTCACATCAATAACAAATAGTTCACATCAATAACAAATAGTTCACGGCATTAACAAACAGTTCACAGCATTAACAAACAGCTCACAGCATTAACAAATTGCTCACATCAACATCAAATAGCTCACATCAACAACAAATAGCTCACAGCATTAACAAATTGCTCACATCAACAACAAATAGCTCACATCAACATCAAATAGCTCACATCAACAATAAATAGCTCACATCATCAACAAATAGCTCACATCAATAACAAATAGCTAACATCGTGGCTTTCGTACAGCGGTTTTATTTTTAATCAACTATATCGTTACAACATGAAGTTCTTTACTCGGGCGTCCACGCCACTTTTTCACGCCGTCCAGTCAAATTTTACTGGAAAAATTTATCAATTCACAGATGACATCATAGGCATAGCCGATCCAGTGCTTCCATTTTCAAGGAAATTTCCTTTTCTAAGGAAATTCTAGTGTCGAAAAGGAAAATCCAAGGAAGAGAAAAAATCTAAGGAAATCTAAGGATTTTTTCCGAACAACTTAAATATTCATCCAAGTGCATTAGTGCAGACGAAAGTTTCACTATTTCTTGACTTTTTGAGTGAATTATCAATTATGTTTAATTAAAAATCTGTTTTTAACTTTTCCTTGTGTTTCCGAAAACTTTCGAAAGTTTTTGAGCGATGGGATTTAGTAACTTTTGGTGCCAAACACTGTGAATAATTAATTATTTATATCAATGGGAAGGTATATGTTGTAAAAGCATAACAAATATTTAATTTTAAACAGTGTAATAGCCTGTGGTTTTTTAGCTAGCAATCATCTTTGTTAATTGTGCTATTTTCTGCCTTTAACATTGATTAAATCCTTTGTATCGCTACAAAAGCACTGCAAACCGCCTAATGAAATTTCAAGGAATTTTCAAGGAAATTATGTATACAATCTAAGGAATTTAGGGAAATTTTGATGATAAAAATGAGAAATTTTGATTTTTAAAATGGAAGCACTGAGCCGATCGAAGTGGACACGTGAACTTGCGAACTTTAATATATGTATATAAAAAGAAACGATTTACATAACGAAAGGCGGAAATGTTTTGTCCTAACTGTGGCAAGGAAGCAGAAAATGGTTCAAATTTTTGTGTGAAGTGCGGAAAAGGTTAGTAAAACTTTTTAATCGTAATAGCTATTAATATAAACACAGCATGAGCATGCGCCACTGCACGTGCGATGGACATCATTGACCTGTGGGTTCAACTTTACTTTCTCTTATATTCTGTTATTTTTACACATGAATATTGTAGAAGATATACAATATAAATAAATTCAGATTTACTACATTCAGTAACCCGAGTTAATTAATAGCAATTCCATGGCCATGGCCATAGTCATAGATTTTGTGGGCAAATTTCCTTAGATTTATTATACTGAAATTTATATTTATAAAGCAAGTGATAATTCAGGGGTGGATTTAATATATCGCAAGGGGGGGGGGTGCACATGGGTGTGCACCCCTGTTGGCCTTGGTCAACAATGGTGCAAGGGGATGCAAGAAAATCAAATTCAGAAATATGGCACAATTTCCATGCCCATGGTTTTTCCTTATTTGAAGTGAAGCCGAAGCTCACAATTTAATGCCCATATCGCAGAAAATGGCATTTCTAGGGTTCTAATTTTCAAAATTTTCTGTGGGCATACCCCTGGACCCCTAAAGAGCTCGTGCCTTTGGCACTTTAGTCGTTAGGAAGCCAATTCATTTGAATATTCTCCCACCACCCCTTAAAGAATTATAAAGTAACACTCTGCTGCTCACCCAGCACCCCCCTAAAAAAAACCTTGCTGGATCCACCCCTGTCCCCTGTGATAAGGGGAGGGGGTTAGTAAGTGGGGAAAATAATGAGTCATAATAGCACAAATTCCTAATCAGGGCCGTGCCAAGTGATTTTTGGTTGGGGGGTGAAATAAAAAAATTTGGGCCCCCTCCCATTTGCCCCCCCCCCCAATTTTCCAGAAACCGAAAAATTTTTCTGCAGAATGCTGGCGACGGGGGAAGGGGGTCCGAGGAGGTCCCAGAAGTTTATATAATGGGGGCTTAAATTTAGTTTTGAATACCTTTTTAGACCAATTTTCCAGAAAATTCCTTAATATTTAACATGTTCCGCAATTCCAGCTTTCCAGGGCCCTCTTTCCCCAAGTTGGGCCCCCTTTTTTTTACTTTTCTTGGGGGGGGGAGGTGATATACCCCACACACACACCCCGGTGGCACGGCCTTGTTCCTAATGCCTTATTGCCTTCATGATGTTGGGTTGTTTTTTTTTCTCATTTTTTTGTGCTGCAAATACATTACAGGTGTACATTAGAGGTGAATATTAGAGGGAATTATAAGAGGGGAATTGATTATAGGGGCTCTCTTCTCCGCAGAGGCTTACATGAAATTTCTAGTGAGTAAAAGTGAGCGCGCGCAAGGAGTGATGGGAAAAGCTAAATAAAGGAAGCCTCTGCGAGTTAATGCAATCAATATGGTGTCGTATATAATAGTTTGTAGCGAAGTTTGATCAACCGTCGAGGGTGTTAAAACATGTTTTCGACTTTCATTTTCAGGCGTACTTGAGTATCCCCCAGTTGGGTGAATTTAATATCAATATCTTCTTCCGTCCATTTGCATCGAAAAATTTTGAGAAATTGCAAACGAATATCAATGAATACGAGCTATGTAATGATAAATATCCTCTTAATTGCAACATTTCTTTATAAAAATGACTCTGTTGAACTTCGATACTCATATTATGTCGATTCATTTCAATTTCTTTCACATTTCCGTCCATTTCAAGTTTAGAAAAGGTCAAACAGCTAGTTTGGTTCAAAAACCATACTTTGTCACATTATCTGGCAGAGCCTCCCCAACTTCAATTCAATCTTCCCATCACACAGCGCGCTCACTTTTATTCAGGAAACTTCATGTAAGTTATTTGTAAATACTTAAGGAGGCTCTGCGTAGGAGAGAGATTATAGGGGAATATTGAGTATATTCCCGATAATAACAAAGGAAACCCAGCAATGTGAAAAATACGTATAGGTTATTTTGAGGTACCTCGGGATATGTGAATAAATCACATTTTCCCTTGTTGCCTCAAAATAACCTCAGCCCTCAAAATTAAAAACATGCCGACCTGAATCTGACCTAGGTGGGCACACCTCGGCACTTTTTAAGATCCGTTTCCATGTCTTGGAGTACTAGTAATCACATAATTTACGAATCATTGAAAACTAACACGACAGCTGGTCACATCGGTTGCAAATCCCACTTCCACACATATGAAAAGGATAAATTGGTATATCCAGTATGCTTTTAAATATAAAAAATAAAATAAATAATCCAGGTAAACCCAGAGGTTACTTAAAAAACTTCATTTCCTTAAAAAATTATTTCCTGTAAAATTATTTCCTTTATTCCCTGAAATCATATGAGTACATTGATTATACTTTATAAATGTTGCACTCATTTTAGTGGATTATTGGAAATAGGTATGTTCACGTGGTCTATCATGTATTAGTCCAGGGATGGATTTACAAGGGGATTGGGGGGGGGGGGAGGGTCGCAGTCAAACGTGCACGTTTGTGGTTCCAAACGTCAACGTTTGAAACGTAAACAAACATTAAAAATTGTTTGCAGTTGGCAGTTGCTTGCAAATGGTATTATGTAAGTGAATAACAATTCAAATACAGTAGTCGAGCAAGATCAGTAATGTTTTGTTTTGGAATCCAGAAGACTAGAGGGTATGAAATTTCGGACAATCTTGGCAATCCAATTTTTGCCGCTCTGTGCCAACCATGGTCACGCTAAGTCGGCCCCTTACAAATCCACGCCTGCGGTATAGGAGTTTTGACCCAAGACGAATATTGACTCCCTTCACTGTTAAATCAATCAAACAGCAGTCATTAATACTCTTTATAGAAATTGCAACTGAGCATATGTAAATTCCTTGGCCTCTGAGGTTGATTGCAAGCTTGGCATTTGTGTGTAAACATAAAAATTCCCTTTGCTACAATCCAATCCATTTATTTCAGTATAACCCTCTATTATTCAGTTGCACAAATATTTGGATCCATCCTCTCCCTACCCTAAAAGGGGGGGGGTCAAGCTATATGTGCTGAGCCAGCTAAAATATGGCTATTTTTGTCCGGGGCATCCGTGGTGTTTATCAAAGTTTTTGTTTTCGTAGGTATCGATCATCTTGCAAAACAAGAAATTGTTGTGGTGGAGAAAGATGAAGCGGGGCCAAGTAGCAGTAGTAGAACAAGTGGATTACCAACCAAGCCCAAAGGTCTTTTTCCCACAACGAAGAAGATCAAATCATTTGCAGAATACAAAAAAGGCAAAGGAAAGCAATGGAAAAAATCTGTGTCGCCAAAAAATTCTGATGAAGACAAACTTCAAGTCGCCAAGTCGAAGGAACGCGATGTGTGCATCAACATTGGTCTGCTAGAATGGAATATCAAGGAGAGTATTCTCAAACCAAAAAGGGGTAAGAAATTAGTGCTTCGTGTATCCAACAAGGCTAACTACAAAACAGTTTGTAGTCAAGCCGTTGAGAAATGGAAAGCATTTTACTCTCACTTGTACTCCGAAAGCGATGCCTATGTTCTGCTGTATGAAAATGGGGAAGAGGCCCTCTTTCTGCCTGGATCCACAAAAGAGTTCTTTAGCTTAGAAAGATATCAAGAAGAATTGGGAAAAGATTATAACAGAATTACGTTATTTCTGTGCACATCTTTTGACTACAATATTTCTCAGGGCATTGACAGTGACAATGAAGATGCTTTGCTTAACTGTGATATTCCTGATGACCATGGTGCAAGCATTGAACCTCATATACATCCAACTCCAAAACGCTTAAAAGTTGATGTAGCTGAAAACAACAAACAAGAAGATTTTAAAATCCAAAACGATGAAAAATTCGCCATTGAGCTTCAGCAACAATTTGAGGAAGAAGTGGAAAGTGAGATCAACATAATTGACGAGGAAGATAGCATACCAGTGGTAGAAGATAGCATACGAGTGGTAGAAGATAAATCTGAAGAAACCAAAGAAGAATTCATTGATCAAGCATCAGTCATAGAACACCTGGAAAAGAA